TAGGCCTAACCGTCGTAACTAAACGCCAATAATTATCTTATAAAGTACACGCCAGAATTCGTGCAACATGCCGACACATGCGAAAGCTTGATACTCTTTCGCCAATTCTGCATTAGCTCCGGTTGTAATAATGATTATCGTGCATTCTATTTTGAAGCTATTTCCGTCGTAAATGGATGCGAGCCTTTTAACGAGCTTCATTCTGACCACTTACAAAACGTATGTACTGTAAAGAGTAACTACTAAAATAGCATGCGTTTTTATCACTGATTTTGACTGCCTTTGTAAATTCTAATATATTTTATGGAAAAAATGCACAAAAAATTATTTTGTATATTCGTTTGGTAGCAAATTACGCCTTCTTTAAATATTTTTTCTTAAAAAGGGTATCTTTTGGTTTTAAAAATGTTCCTTATTTTGAAACCTACTGACTGCTATACTAGAATTCAAGGTTTAGAAACTGCGCACTGTGCACTTTCGGTTTAGGGAAAGGTACATTTTCGTCTACAGTTCGAGGAAAATGTCGCATAGTTCTCATAAACTGTTGCGATAAGCGTGCAACATGCTTTTATAGGCGGAATTAATAAATTGTTGGATACGATGTATTATGAATGAACACCTCACAATCGTAAAGAAGCTTATAATCAGAATTGCACGAATTCTGGCGCGTACTGTAAATGATCGGTTGTGACAGTAATTTATTTTTCATTTTGTTACTATCGTATGGTTTGTCATTGCTTTATGTTAACTTTTAAACAGTTTTACCTAGAATTTAGTGTTTTTTGTATATTTCTTTTAGTTTCTTTCCTGCGCCCACATACTAACTACCCATATAAACACTAGTAACACTGGCCGCGTAGTAAAATAGTATAGGGATTTAGCTTCCTTGGTGAGCCCTAGAATAGACAATTGCTGCGTAAATTGACATGGCAAGATGTTGACACGAACGTGTAGGTTTAGCTTGGTCCTTAGAAATCTTTGGAGTTTGAAATAACATCTTAGGTTGGCCTAAAACTGGACTGGTTGCCGCCGTTGTATGCCCTTGCTGGCGTGGAGGCTTAAGGAGCATCGACAGCACTAAACAGGCAACTTCAAATATTTTATTAACGAGCGCTCGGTGGCACCTGAGGCCACAATTGCGCTAGAGGTAGACGTTTTCATACCCCAACTAAGACTGTTTCTTACGTATTTTTATGAACGATTATCGATTTTTAAATAATTAAAAATCAGTATTCGACTTGAGTTACTGTTCGAAAGGCATGGATGCTTCGGAAATAAGCTCAAACAGTCCAACAGAAACGCTCAATTTGTCAAAAAATGTGTTCTTCCTACGTTTCTTTTGCTGACTTCTTAACAGAGAAGAGCAACTGGTGAACATACGTAAGCTTTCCATAAAATTATTATTAGGCAAGTGAGTTCGGTTAAAATAGGGTAAAATTAAAAGCATATGGCCAATTATGTTCGCTATCTCATCTATGTGAGTCATGGTAACAGGCAGGATAGTGGTGGGTT